TTTGATTAAATGCCTAGAAAATTTAATGGTAAAGTTCTCTGGATCTAGAATCTCTTCTTGGAGTAGTTTCATTTTAATTTAATTTCTTTACTGCCAATCAGATTTCCTATTTCTTCTTGCATTTTATTTATTATGCTGTATTTTTCTAGGGAATTTTTTCATATCATCTGAATTCTCAAAATAGTTGTTGATATTATTCATTCATTTTTTCACTTCTGTAATATCTATAGTAATGTCTTCTCATTTCCAGTGTAATAATATTCTTTCCTCTCCCTTATCTTGCCAAGAATTTATCAGTTTTATTAATCTTTTCATAGAAATATTTTGGTACTGTGTGGATTTTCTTCATTGTATTATTCCTTATTTTATCATTCTGTGCATCTTTTTTGTTATTTGCCCCCTCTTTCTCCTTCTTGGTGTCATTTGCCATTTTCTAACTTTTTAAGAGGAACAGTTAGGTAATTTTATTTATAACTTTTTTCCTTTCTGTTATATCTACTTAATACTAAAAATTTCTAAGCATCATTTTAATTACATTTTATAAGTGTTGATATGTTATAGTTTACTACACTTTATTTCAAACATTACTTGATTTACCTGGTGATTTAATCTTTGACCAGTGGGGTCTTTAGAAATGTATTGTTCAATCGTAAAAAATTGAGAATTTTATATTTTTTGTTATTGTTTCTAACTCATTCTACTATATTCAAAGAATATATTCCATATTATTTTGATCTTAAGAAATTCATTGAAACTTTATGGTTCTTTATGGATCACAGTATGGTCAATTTTCATGGAGGTGTATATACACTTGAAAAGAGTATATATTTCAAATATATTAAATATAGACTTTAAAAATATCAATTGGATCAGGAAATTAAGTAAAATTTGATAATCAGTTATTTAGATCATCTAGTTTCCAATGTCTGCTTATTTCTAGTTACTTGGAGATATTAAAATTTCCCAAAATTATTGTGGAAGATTAATCAAGTTCTTTTACTTTTGTCAAATTTGCTTTATATAGCTAACTAGGTGTATAGATAGAATATTTGCATATTCCTGGTGCTATCAATATGAAATATTACTATTTCTAGAAGTTTAATTTTTCATTAAGGTCTACCTTCCTGTAGCAAAAAAATTTTTCTCTTTAGTCAGTGCTTAATATATCTTTTTCCATTTTTTACTTTCAACTTTTCTATACTAGTATCTTTAAAGCACTTCTCTTTTAATTAACGTTCATTTGGTGTGTATTTTTTGTTTTATTTTGTCAGTTGGACAATCTTGTTCAATTTAGTTAGCTCATATTTAACACAAATATAAAATATTTGTGTTTAAATCTATTATCTTACTATTTATTATCTATTTGTCGCACTTCTTCCATTTCTTTTCCTCTACTTTCTTGCCATTTTCTTGGGTTAAGCATATATTTTTCTATTGTATCTATTTTTTGCCTTTGTAGTTAAGCATTCTTTGACTAATATTATATTATCACTCTAAATTATTTGTTCATTACTCTATTAAAGTTCTAATATAGATTAGTACCTTTATCAATTTCTGGACCTTCCTATTGTGTTAACTCCACTTATTGTCTCCCTCTTCTGCAGTTTTTGGCTATTTTCATTCATTTATTCATCATATATTTTAGACTCCACAACATATTGTAATTGCTCTTTCATAAAGACAGGCTGCCTTTAGTTACTCACATACTTCCTTTTTTCATTGCTTTTTCTTTTGCCAGTTTTCATCTGGGATCATATTCCTTCTATCTGGCGCTCTCCACTCTTACAAGTCTATTGCCAATGCAAAAACATTTTTGAAAATGTCTACATTTTACTTTCATTTCTGAAGGCTATTTTCACTTTGTAAAGATTTTGAAATAGGCTCTATGAAACACTTTGAAGATATTCTGTTGTGTTCTAGCTTCTGTTATTTCTTAAGGTAGATTTATTGGTGGTCATTTGAAGGCAATGTGTCTCTTCATTTCTTGTTGCTTTTTTGAGTTTTCTTTTTGTATTTTGTTTGCAGCAATATGGTGGGCCTAGATATGGTTTAATTGTATTTATTTGGTTTGGAATTTATAGTACATCTTGTCTGTGGTTTGTCTTTTCACTGATTTAAGGAAATTCTTGAATATGATTCCCTACTATGTTGTTTTATCCCAATTATTTCCTTAGTGTCAGGGGCCCAGATTATAACATTTAATTACTCTGTCGTGCCTCCTATGTCTCTTACTTTTTTTGGGGGGAGGGAGGTTGCTTTATTTCCATTCTGTATTCTCTCCAGTTTGCCTCATAGTTATATTATTATTCCTGTACATATTTAGTTTCTAATTCTTTCTACCTTTATCTTATTAGATTTTAAAGCCATTTATTGAGTTCTCAGCACCAGATACTAAATTTTTTAGTTTTAGAATTTCCACTTGATCTTTTAAAAAGACTCATGTTTCCTGTTCACATTCTTCATTTTGTCTTTGATTTTCTTAAACATACTGGTTATGGTTATATTGAAGTCTGTTCCCAATAAGTACAATATCTTATCTACTCTGGATCTAATTCTACTATTGTTTTTCCTCCTGGTCTTTAGACACTGGATCTTTTGGTCTGCTTGGTAATTTCTGATGTCATGTCAGATATTCCTCAGGGAAGAACTATAGAGGAAATTTGAGATTTTTGTGAGCTTCTTGCAGAAAAGATTTACCTTTGCTTCTGGCAGGCAGTGGGGCTGGGGAAAATTATTTTAAACAAAATAGGGTTTTGGTTTTTGGTACTTGATTTAAGGTTTGGTGCTAGACTGTTTTGATGAGTCTGGTTTGGCTAGTCCTTACCCCTAGGTCATAGCCCTTCATTGTCTCACCTGAAATCTTAGGTGTTGATCCGGGCCCCTCCTTCATCATGTGGCTTGAATGCCAGCTTTTGTTTTGCTTAAGGGGAGAAGAAATTAAATCAAATTAGAAGAGAAGACATGCTCCAAGCCTTAAGGTAAAGCTGGCAGTCTTAGAAGACAGGATACCAGCCTCCCATAGAAAGCATTTGTTTTGGGTACTAATGGTACTAGATGGGTAGAGTGGAGCTATGGTATGGGAAATGGTGGATACTAGATCATGGGATATATATATTTTCTTCTCTGGAAGAAATGGTATTTCATGGTACCTCCATGGAATGTTAACAGAAGTTAGACAAAATGAAGAAGTTAAAAAAGACACCAAGGTTTGGGAAATGTTGTTTTAAGCATATTTGTTTACTGCTAGACTTACTTGATTTTTTTTTAAGCGTGCTTGTATCTAAAACTGCTTAAACTCAGCACACTTTCCCATATAATGAAGCAGTGTTTCTTGGAACATACTTCTGGAAATTGGAATGTGTGGGCATCAAGGAAATATGTGACTGGAATATCATATACTATCGTGAAAAGGCCACAGAAGCATGAGCTTTTTATTTTTTGGTATTGACCAAAATTCTACCATTTGCACCAAGAAGATGATCTAGCAAAAGTTTTCACTCAGTATCTTTTAATTGAGTGAACTGTTGCTTTAGTGGATAAAAGAAAAATGGGACTAGGGTGAAATGAGAATGAAATTTGTTGGTCATTTTTTTTTTCCCTAGGAAGATCCATCTGATAATATAGTACAAGAGGAACTGTAAGGAAAAGAGGGTAGACACTGAAAACCCGGATAAAGGTGTTAAATTTCTCTAGACCTGGGATTTGGTTTTGGACTATGGGGTCATCTTTGAAGATAAAAAATGAAATGGAGACTGGTGATACTTTGTTCAGGAAATCAACAACATTTGTTGGTTTTTTACATGGAAAGGAAGTTCTCAAGGTCTTGAATGAGCTTGGATGGCTCTGAGGATGATTGGGTCACTGTGGGGAAGAAGGACAGTCTATGCATGAGACTTCTTTCTGTTTCCTGCATGTAACCAAATGGTCTGCTGATGGGATCTGAAGACAGTGACTAATGCCATGAAGTCTTACCTTATGTTGAAGAACTCAGAAAAAGATCACTAGTTTTCAAACAGTAAATCTAGTGTTCAAAGCATTTGGATGAAATTTTTTTTTAAAAAAAGCTATTTTAGAAAATTAGATAGTAAGTACATTGTGCAAAGATTCTGAAAGTTTCTAAAGCATTTTTCCTTCTAGTTCAATAATTATGTGATATCTACAAATAAAGTGTGTATGTGGGTTAAAACATTTCAAACTGATGATAATTGCTATTTTCAACTACCTTTTCCCCTCAATAGAAAGCAGAGTGTTCTAGAATGACCAAGCAAGTCTTGAATTTGGGGAATGACTAGGGTGTGACATTGCAAATATAGGTTCAGTCTAGATGTACTTAGAGTGGAATCTAAGGAAGTAAAGATTTTCACCATTACCCTCTATGTCTGATCAAATCTAAAGAGCCTCACAGGAGCCAATTCTCCTCCTCAGAAGAGGCAGTGGGTGGAATGGAAACAGCATAGACTTCATCACAGACTTAGATTTAAAACATCCAAGGAATAAGTTGATTTTTACCTGTTAGTTTACTTCTCTATAAAACAGGAATAGCATTTACCTCATAGGATATTTGTGAGGATTAAATAAGATATAAATAAAGCTTTATGCATACAACAACGAATGAATACTGTGTTGTAGTCCATTAACACAACTTCTTCATATTCACCAGACTTGCTTTTCATCTGAAAATTGTGTGCCTTTTGGTAGGGTTATTGAGAGGTTCTACATGTGTGGTGATAGAACTAAGAATAATATTAAAATTCATGTAATAATAACTACCAGAAAAATATGGGAAATAATTTTGAAGAGTTTTACATGTTAGGTATTAGGAATCATAAGGATGAGATATTTTGTGGGGCTAAAATTATTTGTGTTCTTGCAGGAAAAGTATTAAGTATATTGGTAGTGATATGGAGAATCTGAATGAATTAAATCTAGATAGTAAAGCTTGGTTTTAATTAATAAAAAAATAATTAATTGTAATTAACAATTCTTTCCCATTACACCAGTGAGAAGAAGCTCATTACAGATGCCCTTAATAAAAACCAGTTCCTGAAGAGACTGGATCCTCAGCAGATCAAAGACATGGTAGAATGCATGTATGGGAGAAACTACCAGCAAGGCAGTTACATTATTAAGCAAGGAGAACCAGGAAACCATATATTTGTGCTTGCAGGTGGGTTTTGCAGATTTTTTTTTCAGTTATCCTATAACAAATGTTTTGCTTATTGTCTTGTGTTTTTTTTTTTTTTTTTGCAAATATTTATAAAAGTACAAAACCAGTTTCTCTATTTGTAGAAATCTAATAGAGTTCATGAAATGGCAACATTGTTAATCTAATCATCATGATGGCAATAGTTAATATTTACTGAATGCTTTCTATATATCTGACATTCTATTCAACACTCAGTTGGGAGGTCATGTTTCATTTTCTTACCAACCCTATAATGCAAGTGCTGTTATCTTTATGTTACTAACAGAGAATATGTCCCAGGAGGTTAAGTAAGTTATCCAAGGCCACACAGCTCATAAGTGGTGAAGGCAAAATGCAAATTTAGGCAATCTAACTTATGAAACATATTTTTAATTACAGTGCCACCTGCAAAAAAAAGTGCTTCCATTCAAAATACAGCTGCTTATGTTTAGTTTTAGATAATTATACCAGGAAAAAATATCGTGGTTTTGGAAATGATTTTGGCTATATACCAATGATTTCAAAGGATAATTAGGTACATTTAACCAACAGACAAATCTGTAGAGTGCCTTACAGTAACAACTGGTGTTTTTAGAACTAATTAAATGGCTTCCTTTATCTGTGATCACTTGAACATGCATACATGCTAGAAAGTTATATAAGGACTACTCAAAAAAAATTTTAGATATAGAAGCGAGAAATTATCTGAGCAGGGATTATGGTTATTGGATGCCTTGTTAAATTCTGAATTGCCCCAAGCCTAGGAAAGAAAGTTAAATTGGTTTACCCAGATGGTGTGGTAAATTGAGATATGATGTGATCTATTTTATGTTGGAAGTTCTTGATAAGCTAAGCAGTTGCCTTTATTCGTATTTCCTTGGGGCCTTAGGTGTGGGACATAAGGTGCCTTTCTAAACAATCTAATAGTTATGTATTATTCTATTTATAATGTACAAAAGATCATTTTCATATACTTTGATTCTTTAAACATGCTACTTTTATAGTTATTTGTGTATTATTTGCCATATATTTTTATAGGCAGCTTTAAAGTCATATGGTCATTCCCAAGTAATAATTCTATTCAACTAATGCATTATAGCCTTAATTTAGTCAGTCTTTATTTTTTAAATTTTAAATTTTTTAATTTTTAAAATATTTACTTACTTTCTTAGTTGTAGTTGGACACAATACCTTTATTTTATTTACATGTGGTGCTGAGGATCGAACCCAGGGTCTTGCACATGCTAGGCGGGCGCTCCACCGCTGAGCCACAACCCCAGCCCATAATTTTTTAAATTTGAATAATTTATTTAACCAAGTATATCTAAAACAGCCTTCAGCTTTATAGGACAGGTGATCTGGAGCAATTTTTCTCTCATGCAACTTTTCTCTTGGGCATTTTACATCTGTTTTAGCCACACTAGAAAATTCTGGGAAGAGAAGATCGGTCATTAAGTAACAAATATTTGTGGAACTTGCTAGGAGAGCATGAGAAACTCATGTCAGCCCATCTTGTTCCTTGCCAGTTAACTCTGATGAAAAACTTGGGGAGGGAAGAGGTTGAACAGATGTCAGCATCTATGTTGCTATTGAGATCAGAGATATAGCACACATGGAAATGGAAATTGGATGGTTTTTTATTTGAATTAATTATGCTGTCATCTAAAGAATGATTTGCCTGGTTTAATTATCTGGTTGAGTAAATTAATTTGATGATTAAAAATCCCCCTTTGTAGAATATAGCATGAATAGCAAATAGTACAAGCATATTAACTTAGAAATTCGGTATTCCGTTTAAATTCTTCAGCATTCCTCAGGTCCCATGAACCATAACCAATTAGGGAAAAGGCTTAAAATGCACTAATATCTGTAATATCAACTGGACAGTACCACTAAATGGCTTAGATAGAATAGAATTAGCTGTAATGGGAAATTATTACATTGCATATCTAATCTGTGGGATTTTGAACCAAAACAGAGATTGCTTTTTGTTTTTCTTATGAATTATAAGTTTTATCAGAATAAGAATCTTTGTCTCTTTTGTCCACTTTGTTGTTGTGGCATCTGAAACAGTTCCTGGAACAATGAAGGTACTCAGATCAGATTTGTTGAATGAAAGGATGGACAGAGATGACCCAGATCTACACAGTGGTAACTTAGAGAAAGAAACTAATACTTTAAGGGAAGGGACATTACCCTTTAAGAATTTGGGTATTTTTGGCTTATGAGTTTGGTTAGATAAGATTTCATGTGAAGAGGAAAGAGATGAGACATGCCAGGGTAAAAGAATTGTGAATATCTCAGTTTTGCCTCTCCCTTCCTTTCATCTTTGCCTAAGTATAGACTCGTGCCAAACACTCTTGCTAGTGACTTGCTTTTATGATTAATAGTTATTCCATTTAAATGCTGGAAAGGCTAGATAACAGGGAGGACCATGAAGCAACTTGTCCAAGGTCACACAGCCAATAGTTTAGTAGAGCCAGGACCCAGAGCCAGGCAGTCCGACTGCAAGACAAGTGCTTATCAGGTATGACACATCGTCCTTCTGTCACTGTGAACAGCTGTTCTGTGTTTTCAACACCATGATGGTTGGATTCCTAATAAGAAATCAATTGTTTCATGTACTACAATTTGCATAAGGTAGTATAAACTTTAAACAAAACACTCACCATTCACCACTTCAGGGAAGGAGTTTTGTTAGAGTGATAGCAATCAATATTAGAAATGGCTGATGTAGCATTTCTTATGTGCTACCCATCATTCTATGTTCCTTCTTGATATTAACTTATTCTCATGACAAATATGTGAAATTATTATCTGGCTGAGTAACTTAATTTGATAATTAAAAATCCCCCTTTGTAGAATATAGCATGAATACTTCCCCATTGTTAATAATGGGAAATATTATTGATATCCCCATTATTGATAAGTAACTTCAGGCAGAAAAGGTACCTTTTTCAAGGTGAGTGGCAGTGCTGGTTTCAGCTGTATTTTTAACCACTGTATTACAATGAGAATAATAAGATATCTTACCTGGATGATTTTCATACATTTGGTTGTTGTTTAATTTACAAAATACATGTTGATTTTTATTATTTGTATCTGTCTTAAATTCTACTTGATAGAGGGTCGACTAGAGGTGTTCCAAGGAGAGAAATTGCTGTCATCCATCCCTATGTGGACCACATTTGGGGAACTAGCCATTTTATACAACTGTACCAGGACTGCCTCTGTGAAAGGTAACAGAAGATGAAATGATGTCTTTGAATTTTTGCGTGGTGCTAGAAGATTATCTTGTTAAGTCAGGTTTGCATGTTGGTCCAACCTTTGTCTTTTAGTTCCCCCTATATGCTCTTATTCATAGAAATGCTATGCCTATGATAGGATTTATATGGAAGCATTTCTCTAAACAATTCAAGTTAAAAGAACTTTTCTCTCAGGTACCTGTGTATACAATTTAAAAATGGCTTTAAACTAAATGATTCCAACATTTTAAAAATTGCCATTTCATCTTTTACTACGCAGACATCATTCAGAATGTTTGCTTTTTAGTTTCCATAAGGTTCTGATCAGAAAAATTAATCAAACCAAATTAATTAAATGAAAAAAATTAATCAAATGAAAAAAATGTAAGTATCACAAAGGATAAAGAAATGAGAGTTTGCATGAATGACTTTTAGTATTTTTTTAAGTAGTTCTCCTACTGATTTTATTTTTACTGATTTTATTCATGCAATCTTGGATTTTCTTCAAAATTATTTAGATGTGGTGTATCTCAGTGTTTGAGACTGGGTTACATATATTAACATGCTGAGATATTTAATGAAAATGCAGACTCGGGGCTCCACTCCAAATAAGAAGAAGAATTTCTGGTCATGAGGCCCAGGAATCTATATTTTTAGGAAGAATATAATGGTAACTCTAATTCACTGTAAAGTTTGATAAACTGGATCTTTAGTTCCCGATCTATTTTGTAGGCTCTCATTACTCTATTTTTTTAATCTTACAATTGTAATTTCATTTAAATTATTTTTAAAGCTGTTACTTCTACTCTACTTCTTTTTGGGATCTTATGCTTGCCTTTAATATCTTTCCTATTAAAACTGTTTTTTGTAAAAACTGTCTTTTGTAACTTCTTTAAAAATTATTCATAAGCATTTTATGTGAATAACTTCAGAAATCCTTGAAATATATAGGCTTTTTTTGTGGCAACGAGATCTAAACAGCATAAAAAGACACACAAAAAACGTAAACATACACACAGAAATCCTTAACTTCAATTTACCTGCTTGTGAATTCTTCACTCTCTAGGTTGGCCACAGGTTGACTGGCCTTCTCTAACATGTGTCCTGATGAGGTAGTGTGTAATTGTAAATTGCAAACTCATTTGAATATCATCTTAACCGAAAGATAATTAGAAAGCAAATCTTCCAATTCCAAATCATGGTACACTTCAGAGCCAAAATGATTTATAAAATTAGTATTTATTTTGATGCTTCCTTCCATTTGCATGTTTAAATAATGCATTTTCCAAGAAATGCAAATTCACCCTATTAACATTCTGGAAAGTTTTCTTGATGTGATGCTAAATAATGTTTTGTTATTTTCTCCATTCTTCTAAAGCTATTACCAATGTTAAAACATGGGCATTAGATCGAGAGGTTTTCCAGAACATAATGCGGAGGACAGCTCAAGCTAGAGATGAACAATACAGAAACTTCCTCAGAAGGTAAGAATAATACATTGGGAGAAAGTGCAGCCAATGAGGTAGCCATAATGTGAATATGACGGTTTTATCAGAATATTTATTTTAATATAGTTTCTCCCATTTTCCACATTATTAAACCAAGGAGAAAAAGTATTTCCTTGCAATTAATGCTAGTATCAGTAAAAAGTATTACATTTGATTCCCATTAGCTTTGTGTATTGATTTATTTCTCTTGCTAATTTTTCCCTTGTATTCATGGAACCATAGTGTATAATATAGAAAAATGTACAAAAAAATCCTAAAATATTCAACAGAGTGTTCACTAGACTGAAAGATATATGAAATTTGAAAGAGGCTAGCAAAAAGTTAACCCTTCTAATATTGCTTTGCTTAGAATAATATTAAAATTAATTTAATTTACTATCCTTGCTTTAAATGAGACATTCTTTTTTTTATTCACATAGCCACACTGTCTTCCAAATTATTACATTATTTGTAGGAAATTAACTTGCCAAAAACATTACTGTACTTGTCGTGATGACATGGATCCTTGAAACATAAATCATTTTGTGAAATATTCTGTACCTCAATGACTTACTTGAATGCATCAATTTATAGAGAAACAAATATCTATGTAATTTAAAAAACCAGTTCCAAATTAGATAAAGTTTTTGAAAATCTAAGTTTCTTAAACTACTTTTGTATCATTTGTGAGAGTTTTGATAGTCTCTGAATCTGTACATTCTGTAATGAAATGTTACTTATAAGTGTTAATAATACATTGCATAGTTTCCAAAAATAAATTCTAAGTTCTTCTAAAGTACAGCATAGTGATTTCATCTTGCATTATAAGCCTTTGAAGTCAGTGATTTGGGGGCTGTATAGTGCCTAGCATATATTGAGAGCTCAATAAATCCTGAAGGAACATATTGTTAATCAGTAGGATATTGCAAGTATCAGTTCTCATATAGAATTGTAGTGATTGACCCTTTCAAGGGCAGTAATGGCTCCTGGCAGAGGGGCGATAATGACAAGCAGGTGCCTTATCTGATAGCCAGCCAGTGCTTAGTCATCATTTTGTGGGATCTCCCTGAATATAGGTGATCTCCAGTCCAACAACTGAGTGACACAGGTCAGCATTTAAAGCTAATAAGCCACACTTATGCAAGAGCCAATAAAGGATACATAAATAACTAGTGCCCAAAGGTTATGTTTGAACATCTGAGATAAAACCTAAACCACTACATGCAGAGCAGTTAATTCTCCCCCAAGTCCAGTATGTTCCTAGTGGAAGGAGCTAAGATAATGTACTAAGATACATTCCTTCTTTCTTTCCCTCCTTTTGATACTTCATTCATTCTTTCAATTTATTTCCAGGTAGAAAATATTGTAAACTCAGATGGTAAATAAGATAAACCTGATGCCTGCCTTCATAGACATACTAATATTTCCCCTCATATCTATTTCCTCACCGTACCCCTAAGGTGACAGACTTACTAATGTTATAGATCCCAGTTTGGACCAGAAGTTAAATTTTCATACTAAGTATGTGTTAATCAAAGACAAGTTCTGGTTATCCTTTTATCATTTCATCAAGAGGGAGACAAACTAGCAAAATATATTTTTCTTTGTTTCATAATGTACAGTAAGCTCTCTTTCTTCATTTCCATTTTTATTATAAAATCTGATATATAAGATATGTGGTCCTTATGTAAATTACAAAATATTATGACACTAGTCATCTGATGACTGGGAATATAGTCAGAGGAAATGAAATAACTTTGTCAGAGAGACATGTGCATTTCCATGTTCATTGAAGCACCTTAGTGTCCACCAACCAATGTACACATAAAAAAATGTGGAACACATGTGCCATGTAGCCATGAAAAAAGATGAAATTCTGTCATTTGTGACAACATGGCTGGAAATGAGGATCATTATGTTAAGTGAAATAGAAAAACAAGAACTACATGATCTCACTCATGGACTTAAGAGTTCATCTCATAAAGTTGAGAGTAGCATAGAGGTTTCCAGAGGCTAGAGAGGGTAGGAGAAGGGAGGGATAGGGAGAAGTGGATCAGTGGTACTAAGGTATAGGTAGATAGAAGCAAGAAGTTATGATGTGCTGTTGCACAGTAGGCTGACTACAGATAATGAGAATGTAATAAGCATCGCAGAAAGCTAGAAGAAGGGATTTTGAATGTTTTTAACCATAAATAAATAATAAATGAGAAGATAAATATTTTCCCCAACTTAAACATTGTACAATGTATATACATGTACTGAAATATCACAGAGTACCCATAAATTTGTAAAATTTTTATGTTTTTATATATTCATTAAAATTTTAAAAATTATAGCAGAATAAATGTCCATGAAACTATTGCCCAATATAAGGAAAAGAAAATTAGCAGCATCCTTGAATTTCTCATGTGCCTCTTTGTATCATTTCCTCCTGAATCCTCTCTCCTTGAAAGTAATTGTATTTGAAAGTTTAGTGATCATATCTTTGTTTTTGTTTTTTTTTAATAGTTTTGCCTATGGCTTGAACTTTATGAAAATGGTGTTATTGTTGCAACTCAATTTTTCACTAAGATTCATTTCTCCTATTGTAGAGTTTTATTACTTGGCTCTAACACTGTGTAAATGTCTGTTCTACACTGAGGTTTCTTCAGTGTTTTGCAATTACAAAGGATTCAGGTGCAAACCTTCTTATACATGTGTCTTGGCCTGTGCCTCTGGTATATGTGTGCAAAAAGTCATTCTAGAGCTCTCTGCCTTTACAAACTCAGATCCAATTGTGCATTTTTTGGAGTAGCATTATTTTTTTCCTGTAGGGGTGTCACATTTTAGATGGTAAGAATAGTTTATTTTTCTTATAGGAATTATATTAACAGTCCTGAATTAAAATGGGCAAAATAAAAGAGAAATTTAAGAGAACAATTGAATCATGTTGATAGATTAATCATACTGAAATTTCTGATATTTTAAAATAGTAGTTTTCAGCATTCTACTTCTCTCTATATTGTTATCTGTAACAATGTTCCTATTACATGCCTCTGGCTACCATTGATTTTTGAAAGGACAACACAGTATGACTAGTAATCAAAGGGCATTTCAATGTTAATTCCCCTGTTCCTCTGAATTCAGTCTTTATTTAATCACAAGGTTTTGGATGAAAATCTGATCCTCCACTGGAAGCAGAACTCCTCACCCAAACTAATAGAAAAGATACTGAGATACGGAAAGGAACACATTTATAGATGCTATTCACTTTGAAAACCAAAAACGACAGTCATGTGATTTTTCCTCTGTTAGAATATAATTTTCCCCTTTATCTTACTATTTTTATTTATTTACTTATGAAATTATACATATCATATTATGTAATTTCTAATGTGTATAAAATTCTGTTATTTATGTGTTTTCTGTTATTTAAAGGTTTACCTTGGAGAACTAAGAGCATTATAATTTTTAAATAAATATAAAAACTTTAGAATCTATATAATGTATATTTGTATATTTATAGTTAAACTCAGAAAGATATTTATATTAAGGAAAGATTTGTTTTGATTTTGAAGTGTATCCTTGCTGAAGAATTTACCAGAAGATAAACTGACCAAGATCATTGACTGTTTGGAAGTGGTAAGACATTTAAAGTACATTTCATTAGAGTTTAGAATCTGGTTGTGTTATTAGCACTGTAAATGAATAAAAAGGAAAAGACAGTAGATCACTATTCTGTAGAGACCAGAAACATTTTTCGTTTGTGAAAACTTAAGCTAACTCATGCTGAAATAAGAGGCTGGGGAAGAGTTAGATTCTTTTGAAATGTATAAAAGGAAATTGGATTTGCATGTGTAAAGTGAAATTTGATTTACATATTTTAATCTTTTTAGTATATTTTATAAAACTAATCTGCCTTACTCAAGAGGCATTTGATTTTTCTGCAATTAACATCACAATCCCTTACAGAGTTTTCATAGTAGAAAGGAGTCAGTGAGGCATAATTAGGAAATGGAGCACAGAAAGGGCATGTTGGTGCTTCGGGTGACAAGCCTCTGAATCAGACTATGAAACATTCTATACTTGAACACTCTAGGCCAGGAAAATACATTTTAAGAAACTGTACTCAAGAAGCACTTTACCTATATTAATGTCTGGAGGAAAACGGCATTTTGGAATGTATTCAAAACTCATTTTAGGCATCACCCAGATGGTTGGTTCCAGTCCAAGACTCTTCACGTCTTTTTGTGAATAATACTTCAATGACACATACCTTGGATGCTAATGATATGCATCTTATGAAAACCTCTTCGGATTTCAGAGATTAAAATTCAAAGCAAATAACCTCTCTAACTTTCTTGGGGGTCAATTTCATTGAAACTAAAGTGGGTTTTATGGAATTTAAAGGAGGTAGGGAATGGCAAAGAAGTCACATGTAGACTTTAAGCTTTAATAGAGCTGTTCTCAGTGGGAGGAATATAAAAAAGCCCTACAAGGCTGATTGTTGACAGATTCATGCCTCTGTCAATCACAATATGCAATGTAAAATAATATCTGTTGAGAAGGGAGTAGGGACCATTTCATCCTTAAGTGTAAGTGACACCACTAATGTTTCCATTTACAATTCATGGAACCCATCCAGCAGTTTATCTGGGACAGACCGTGATGACACAATGCCTGGCCTTGTGTCCCCATGGGGGTCAGATATGAAGTCATTTTCAAGAAGACTGCTTATCCTGCATCTCTTGGGATTTCCCTAATGTAATATAAAACAATCACAGATGTTATAAATTAATAATTCATCCCAATTTCTGAGGATTTTTTTTAAAGCTAGAGAGGCCCTATATTTTTTTGTTAACCAAGGAAATCTGTTTTTAATATAAAACTAATAGAGTAGATTCACCAGAGGGGAATTCCATGCTGACAGCAAATATGAAAATTTAGTATCATTAAAATTAAATGGTAAATTAGACATATTTAAAACAGCCATAGGCAATAGCTACAGAACATATAGATGGGTACTCAAATCCAGTATTAATTAGCACACAATTCAAGTTTGAGTCTCATCTTTTAAAACACCTTAGAAAAGCTTTACCATATCTAAGCATTTGCAGAAAACAGCACGTTTTATAAAAGGCTCTTTATTCATTACCTGGCAAACAAATGTGTCTCTGTAATGTGTGAAAATTCTCAGATGCAAAAGCAATGAACAAGGGAGTAATGGAATCTCTTTAGCTCTCAGAAAAGCACATACCTTACCAGCATAGCTTGGACTAATGACCCGTCCACATGGTCCGACAATGATCTATTCCTAATGTACCCAAGTTATGACAGAGCGCCTGCTGAGTTCTAGGACCAGCTGTACCACAAACTGGTTTCATAATCCTTGAGAAAATAGAATCTGTCATGCTGTTTAGGAGTTGATAAAGGGAGTTTTTAATCCCTATGTATACGTGTTTGGGAGGGTGTTGGGTGGACATGGGGGTGGGTATCAGAACTTTCCATCAAGAAGCAGTTGGCCTGATGTGTTTAAGCTGTAGACTGTTGAACACTGTTGAGTTTCTAGACCCAATGGCCCCCATTGTGCAGTGCTCCAATAGCATTTCTGACTCTAGCTTAAGTCACTCAGATCATTTGGTTCTGGAGGCAGACATTGCCATTAAGCCTTTTTGCATGTTCTCATGGGGGAATGAGTGGGAATAACAGTAACACACTCACTGAGGTGCTTAAGATAGGGAAGTCATAAAGCATGATACAGATTTGGGATGGAGATTAATGATTAATGATGCTGGAAACCATAGTGTGACTATTCCCCCTGCCATTATGCAGGACGATACAGGAGAGGAAGGGGTTTCTCTTCGCATTCACAGATCAGTCCAGAAGCATGGGATTGACTGTGCTGTCTGAGTTACAAGCCCCGTGATGAATCATGAGGTCACCTCACTGTTTGTTACAGAGCTCTGGTATTTGACCTAGTGGCCTTGTGCACTGCCACTCTGACATCTTTCACAAAGTTACAGTTGAGAGGGGGTGAGTGGATTTAGAGTAGTGTGGAATGTTCTTATCCTTCCTTCTTCAGACTTGGGGGGCCCTTTGAAAGTTAAAAGGCAGGTTCCTGGGTAACATCCTTCACTTACTGAATCAGCAACTTTGATAGAGGCCCCCAAATTCACATTTTTAATTTTTAATGTTGGGATACTTATGCTTACTAAAGTTTGAGAAACACATATATGTTTATGACTAGAATACATGTATTCAAATTTCCCCAGTCTGCCACTTCATATAGGAATTTTCCATTTTTAATCATTTTTTTTCAAAATTTAGTCTTTCTTTCTTAAAGTTCCTAATAACAGTTGGATAAGCCAGACAGTTTTCCTCATTTTAATTGTTATATCCTGAGTCATAAGAAAACTGAGATCATTGTGGATTTTGCCAGTTTATGGACTAGTGAGTTAAAGGTGGGGCTGCTGGGAGTTGTACAAAGTTCACCAGTCCGAAGTCTGGAGACTAGAGTTTGTGGTCCTTTCTCTGTCACTATCAGCTGTCCATTAATCATAATGAACATATGTAATGAGATTTCTAGCTATAGTGTCCTCTCATTACAAAACAAGAGGGTTGTGGACCACATCTTTATGGGATCTTTCATTGTTTATATTACTGAATTCTATGTAGTTGACTTGCTCAAATAGAAATAATATCTGCTGGTTTTTATTTTGTAGGATCTAGTTCCTTGGCAATAACAAACCAGGTGCCAAATTAATGCTGAATGGTTGATAGGGTCCAGCTGATCTAGGTGTATTTCCTCTAATATTTCTAAGATCGTAACTATTGTACTTGGAAAAAATTACTAATTCTCTATGTACCCAAGTTTGTTTAAACTACTTATACTCAAACAACTGTAAGCAGTTTTTTAAACAAACTTGAAAAGTAGAGGCACCAAGGGTGTGTGTGTGTGTATGTGTGTGCATGTGTGTGTATACTACATCTTGTTGTAAATCATCAATACTTAATTGTAATGAGATTTCTAGCTATAAACTATATACTCTAAGGAAGTCTAAAATGCTTCTTTTTCCATCACCTTTGAGTTTCTTCTGGTTTTATATAGTATTTTTATGGCCACTATATTTAGACTTTTGCTAGATTATCATAGTATAAGCATTTTATGTACAGCAAAAATAAAATCTTTCCACCTTTGGCTGTTGCTGTTTGTATAGTTTTCTTGTGATCTCTACCTATTATTCTATCCTGAAATTAATTGATTTTTTTTCCATACACTAAGTACCTACTCTCCAGGCTTCTTAACATCTTCTTTTAAAACATTCAGACTGTGGGTCACGAATCATTGCTCGGTCATGAAATCAGTTTAGTGGAACCTTTAAAAAAATCAGAGTAGTAAGTATCATTTTGAAAACCATGCTTTAGTTTCATATAAATGTATGTGTTCATGGTATTATGTGTGTATTGAGTGTATATGTAAAATATATTTCTTACTGAAGGTGAGAATAAAAAATGCTTGAAAACTTTGCTCTACAGGTTAGGGTCTATGGCTTCTTGGTCCTCTGATGGACCCCTCTGCAGTGTAACCACAAGGACAATAACCACACTGTTTGCATTTCTCTTTTTGGTCTTGGTGACCACCCTGGCTTGACTGGCGACTCTCCCTGGTTGACAAACACTGGGCAGTCCGGCATCACAGCCAGTACTTACCACTGTATATTTTTGGTCTGACCTATTTCCACAGCCTTTTCTGATCTATGAAGTTACTGTCAATACACTGGAAGGTATTATTTATCTTCCTCCCATGGTTTGGGGTGACAAAGAATCATCCCTTGGAAAAATACCACGAGGAAATTTGTCCCTTAAGAAACAATGAAGCTCTATCTCAAGTATCCTTTCAAGCTTTTCACTTCAAACTTACCTGGTTGACAGGAGTTAAAGCTGCACCTCTGTATGTACCAAAGGCATTATTAAGCCTAGCAGCTTTTTTTCTTTTAGAAGAAAAGCCTAGCAGCACCTCAAAAATTCTCCATGTCCTTCTGCTCCATGTGGGCAATGGAGACTGAGATTGGGATGTGGACAAGAGAGACTGAAGGGCAGACTATTAGAAATGAGAATATAAAACATGACTCCAGCAGTTTTATTAAAGAGAACTGAACATTAGTTAGATAAAGACGGCGGGACTGTGGGAATGAGGTCATCCATAAGGGTCATAGTCATTGCCATTTTAAATTTAAGCTTGTCTACAGTGAATGTTTGGGATAAATATAAAATGAGGAAGAATGAAGAGTTAGATAAACTGATGCAAAGAAATTTACAAAATGGCAGGGGGAATAGTCACACTATGGTTTCCATCATCATTAATCATTAATCAGACAAAATTTTTGGTCTGACAGGTGGATAAATACAATTCTGCCTCCTGTTCATTTGACAGTCTAGGGAAGATGGCCCTGTGGACTCCACATAGTCATTCAGGACCAGGCTCATGACTACAAAGTCCTTCTGGGTTATACCATTAAAACTGGAGGAAAGTAGGAAGATACATACATGAAAGGGTTCTTAGACCTTTTTGGAAAAAAAGGTACACATCACCTTTGTTTTGATTCTTTTAGATAGAAGTTAATTATATGGCTGCAACTAACAGCAGGAGTATAATTTATCTGGACAACCATATATTCCTGTGGAAGACTCTGATAACTACCTTGCACTCTTTTTATGGGAATTAACAGTCACCAGATGCCTGTTCTGTACCAAACATTCCACCAGATATTTTAGTACACTATGTATCTATAGTAGATATACAATATTAATTTACAGACAAGGGAACTGAGGTCCAGAAGATACACTAACTAAGCAAACATTATCCTCCTCTTCCTTAACATGGCAATTACTAATCAAGCATTTGCCATGTTTAAGATTATTTTAGTACCTCAGAAAACGTTGTCTTTCATTGGCTTATTATGGTAGGCAGAATGGTTCCCCCAATATCCAGACTCCAATCCCTGAAATGTGTAAATATGTCACATTATCTGGCAAAAGAGACTTTACACAGGTACTAAAGGTTTGGGACTTTAAAATAGGAGATTACCCTGGATGGGCGAGGTGGGGTGAATATAATTCCATGAGCCCCAGAAATCAGAGAATTTCTCTGACTAAAAGCAGAAGTGGAAATCTGAGAGATTTCTGGGGTAAGAACTGGACCTGTCATTGCTGGTTCTGAGATGTAGGGGCCCCAGACAGGGGGACAACAGAGGTCTCCTGGAGATAAGGGTAGCTTCCACAGATAGCCAGTGAGGAAATGGGGACCACATCCCCAAAATGAATTCTGACAATGACCCGAATGAGCATGAAAGCCAATTCCTCCCCTCGCCCCCGGCATCCAGAAAGGAACACAACTCTACAGACACTTTGATTTTATGCCATTTCTGAGCTATGCTGTGGCTGGACTTTCTGACCCACAGAACCTAAGATAATGAAAGGGTATCATCTAAGCCACTAAATTTGTGGTCATTTGTTTCCACAGTAGCAGAAAACTAATGTACTTTTTTAAATCTTTGAAGGTAAATGTTCTTATTATAATTTTATGGATTGATGAAAGTAAAATTCAGGGTAGAACTAGGATTTGAGTCTAGATCTGTGTGGCTTCAAAATACTTTTCTACCCTAAAATATCATGCTTCTTTCTATGAAATGTTGAAATGTCTTGTAAGATGTACATTGTGCTATGAAAATAAAAGGTATGTTTATTAATATTAAACAGTATTAATAAATATTGATATTTATAAATATTAAAATTAATAAATAATATTTAACAGTAATAATAAATATTTAACAATGTTTATTCCATACATGTAAGTTGAGTTTAAGAGTAAATGACCAGAAAGGTATTTAAAAAACAAACACAGAAGTTGTTAAGTTTGAAATTATTTTCAAGTCTAAAAAAAGAGACAGCGAGCTATTATGTGTTAATTATATCTTTTTAAAAATTTAAACAATCCCATTTTTGTTTGTATAAATAATTAAGAGATCCATTTTAGTTGTATGATTTCCAGACAAGATACAATTAAAGCAATATAGAGACAGACAGTTTAATCTATCTTTTGTTTTCTCGGGTACTGAATTGCTCTTTTGGTCTGACAGGTGGATAAATTACTTTTCCCTACCCAATAATTCTCCAATCACACAATCATCTATAAATAAAGGAGGCATTAATACATAAAAAGAAGTAGGTCGTCATTTGAGATTTCATGAAGATGGAACTACATTTAAAAATAGAATTTATGTGTAAAAAATTCCAGTATCTTTATGATCTTTTATGATGATGAATCGTTGGAAGTAATATGTATAACAGAGCGATTTAGTGTGTATGTGCAATCGTCCCAGCAGTTGTTGCTCTCCAGGAAATTAGAAATTGAGGTTGATATTCCTAATACCCATTAAGGGTGTTATTTTCAATTTATTATGTGATTGTTTGCTCTTTTCTAAATCCTGGACCTCGTTTTCAGACTGTTACCCATCACTGTGCGGTTTGTATTTAGATTATGTAGGTGAAAGTGCACCAGTGCATAGAGATCGCTGCCCTGCTTTTGGGTCTCCATACCTGAAATTCAGTATTCCAGGTGAATTTTTTTTTCTGTGAAATAAAGCATACAAGTGCAAAAGTAAAGTAAAAGTCACCTCTTGTACAGTTTATGATGGCGATGTAAGAAAAACAGATACGGTAGGCCAAAATTTAGAGAAACAGGTGTGGAGACTCATTTCAGAAACCCAAAGAGTCCTGTTTCCCTGTGTCTTCCTTCAGTTGTAATTTCTGCTGGACCTCACATCCTCTTTCTTTCTCATTCCAATAGGAATACTACGACAAAGGCGATTACATCATTAGAGAGGGCGAGGAAGGGAGTACCTTTTTCATTTTGGCAAAAGGAAAGGTAAATATTAATTAAAGCTTACTTAAAATAATTTTTTTAAAAATTAATCATTTTGCCATAAATGCAGCAATATTCTGTACTGCAGCATAAGATAGTCTACATCGAATGCATTTGGCGCTTCCTCCAAAAGAATTTTCTGGGGTCTGCCTGAGGGCTGGGTTTGAAGGTGGGTGCCACAGGAAACTTGTGATGGGTTCCAGGTGAGATAGTCTCCTTTTAGTGACCTTATGCAGGTCACTTGACTTTCTTTGGATCTTGATTCCTGGTGTACAGTAGCTGGATGGTTTCTGAGGTTATTTCTAGCTATGAGTATGTGATTCTCAATCAGCTCCAGGGTCCAAGAACAGGGCTAGAACATTTTTCTAACAGATGTGACAGGTGGCAAGTGGAGGGGAATGAGCTCAGCAGCTGGGGGTGGCAGTGGTCAGGCATTAAACTATAGAACCAATAAACTTGGAACTTAAATTTGTATGCAGTAGCTGAAATTGACTTAGATGCTGATGAAAATTTTATTTTTATTTACTTTTTTATTTATATAATTGTGGATTTAAATTTATTTTTATTTATATATTTTATAATTTTATATTGTTGATTTATAATATTTATATAATTTTATTTATATATTACATATAAAATAGGTATTTTTCTTTACCTAACTCTGAATAGATAAACTGTTGTCAGTTGTTCCTATGCCGACTCTTAAGGTTTGTCAGAGACAAAAAGCATATATGAAATACTGAAGGAATCAAATCTCTTGAGCCCCTGTGTCTGTCAGATATTTTGTGTATGTTCCCTCTTCCATGAAAGAGAGAATCGGGCACTGCCTTTTGTAAACTGGTTTGTGGGTGAACTTTGAACTGGGCCCCCAATGAAGAAAAAACATGAACAAAATAGTTTCAAACCTCTTATTCGTCAACAGTGAGAACCACATCTTAACTACTTCTCCCCTACTTGGACCTATGCTATGAAAGAATTATTGTTAATTAACATGTTGTACTTACTATCATTTTTTTAAATTTTTTAAATTTATTGTAACATACATGAGTGTCAATCAAAAATTCTAATCAGCATGAAACAACATTTATTACTGTGTTGAATTAAAATAATTCTAGCCACAGATATGAAATATTAAAGTTTTGTTTGGCTGTGCTAGAGGGTTTTTACAGTTTCCTGGGCCATGGGTTCACTTGGAGATGCCCACAGAAGCTGTGAACCATTTCCAACCCACATTTTGTGTCCAGTTTTAGTAGGTACATAGGATTTGGCAAATCTGTGGACACCTGACTTAGGACTCCTGATATTCAACCTTATTCGTTTTTTGTTTGTTTTTGTTGTTGTTTGTTTTGGTGGTACTGGGGATTGAACCCAGAGCCTCATGCATGTTAGGCAAGTGATCTACCATTGAGCTACATTCTCAGTCCTCAACTTTATTCTTGATTAATTTGTCAATTCTTTTTAAGCTTTCTGGAGTAACAAAAGTTCCCACAGGACCATTATTATTTCCTTTGAGAATGTCTTGGAAGGAATAACTAGATTCACTTTCAAAAATTAACTTTAGGAGGTAGGGTTTAAGTGGAGAATCTTCTTCTTTCAGAGGGTAGTCCTTTGTGTTAAACCACAGGATCACTCATATCCATCAAAATGAGCTGAGTGTAGTTAATTGTCTTACTACTGTAAAATTAAAGGAAAATCTTATCTTTTTCCCCTCATTTATCAAGTTTATCTAGGTCTGGAGGGTTTGCTGGAATGGATATGTGTCTGATTCTCCTCCTCCTTTTTAATCGATTAACATTATTTAGGTTAAAGTCACTCAGAGTACTGAGGGCCACGATCAACCACAGCTGATTAAAACACTGCAAAAAGGAGAATACTTTGGGGAAAAAGCTCTGATCAGGTGAGCCCATGAATCTATATGCCATACCTACATACAATGCTTAGACCGTTTTCTATGTGAAACTAGTCATTTGAAGTTGTCCTATTGAGCCACCAAATTAATGGCCTCAGATATTCAGGAATTAAACAAAAATGTTAAACTGCCTTCTAAAATTATCAGCTCATTTTGCAAGTCTTTGAGCAACTCAAAATCGTGCATTTGAGATTTCTACCTGAACCTTCAGTCTTTGAGACATAAGTTGGTTTACTCTTGATATGATTTATGGAAGAAATATTTTTAATGGTTAATCGAATGACTTGGACACTATGTACTTCCTAAAACTCATAAAACCTCATGACTGAAGAAATATATTTTCCTAAATGTAAATAACTTCATAAAACCTCAAAGTTTGGGCAACGTGATGTTTTGGAATTACATGTTTTTAAGTGAATATTTGGAATTACTGGGGAATCACTTAAAATTTATGTTATGACTTAATGCTTTTATTTCAAATTGGTGCTTGAAGGAATGGAATAGTATTTCTGTTCATTTACCTTCTTAATTTTGGTTTATAAATCCCCAGTTCTACTGATTTGTATGACAGATTTTACATAATTACAGAGCAAAGGAAGATATTACCTGAAGATAAATCTCATCATGAAGATTTTTTAAAAGAAAACCCAAGTATTAAAGCTTAATAAATTAGGTTATAGCTATTATGTAAGCAACTTAAAAGTAGAATTTAAAGCCAAGCTAAATTTTTCTTTCCCATTTTCTTGCTGGTAATGAACTTGATTCCCTAATAGGGAAATTATCTTTCTTTTGTGCACTATCATAATGTAATATCATTATCTAAGACTTCAATGTATTTGTTTTCAGCATTTACAGGCTATTTTGTCTCATACTTCTAAGCAAAATAGCTTAAAGCTTGAAAGTTCAAAGGCCTTTATAAATGTAGTATGGAGACAAAATAGTTCTTGAAAGGAAATGTGTCATCTATTTTTGTAAGACCTGCAGTGATTTATGCTATATGTTGTAGCCAGCCAATTATAGTGTTTTCCTATGGACAATATGGGAATTTATGTTTACTATGGACTCACAACTTACCAAGGTATTTGAAAGCATAAAGTTAAAACCAATGGGAAGGAAAGTGGAGACAAACATTATAACATTTTTGTGGGTTGCTGCTGACTGACTCAATTTTCCTTTTATTCTGTATATTTCCACAAGTTGACATTTAAAAGTCCCAGAAGTTCTTTCAGAATTTCATATGCAAATATAAATCCATGACACTTACACAGTACTATGAAAGAAATATGAGTGTGTTTATGAACATTAATATTTGTAAAGTGTTTGCAGAGACTATTCTCAGTGCCAATGATGACACCAACATGTGAAAGGAACACGATATCTCTTTCTCAGAACTCAGAGATCAAATAGCTGGTCCACAATCCAAGTTCGTGTCTGTTCTGTTTCTATATCTACCTGGCTCTGTCTCTACTACCTCTTTCTCTGCCTTCACTACCTCTATCTCTATCTCCACTACCTCTATCTCTATCTCCATCATCTCTCTTTATCTCTGTCTAAATCACATTCATACAAGTTGAGCAGAAACTGTCCTGCCTTTGACTCCAAAGTTCATGAAACTCAAGTGTCTTTACTGATGTCTTCTTTTTTTTTGGGGGGGGGGTTATTTTTTTATTATTATTTTTTTAATTTTTATTGTTGGTTGTTCAAAACATTACATAGTTCTTGATATATCATATCTTCTTATAAAGATCCTTTAAAGGGATCTTGGTGGGATGGAAGATATGTCAGAATGTCTTTGGATATCAGCTAGGCAGAGGGCACTTCTTTGGAATGGTAGAGAGGGGCTGCCCAAGTTTTCTGTGTCCTACCACTAAGAAAGGTGAAGGAGATTTATACAATACTATATTTGATGAAGTTGACTGGAGCAGTCCTAGTAAGGTATTCTACCATTTGCTGCTACTGGTAGGACATCTTATAAATCTCTGAGCACTGGGTTCCATGTGGGAGAACCTGTTTTCATTTTCTTTAATTTATAATGAATAGAGGGAGGAAAGTAATAAAAATAAATCTCTGAAGAATATTTGCCTGATGCTTAACAAGTTGATATTCATTAGAAAATTAAACTTATCATCAGGTCATATATGACTACTCATCATATCTAAGATATTGATTGTAAGGTATTACCTACTCTATTATGCACCATTAAGAAAGATGATACTGCTAATTATCCTATGACTCATCATTTATTTTCATATATAAATTGATTTCAGAGATTTTAATGTATAAATACACATTTTCATGATCTGATACTGAAAACAATTTTCTTGGGTTTTATTTTTGATGGTTTTCCCAATAAGTTTCTTTGATCAGTTCATTTCTGTTTTGCTTCCTTATTAATTAGTCTTCTTTGATCAGGGGGGAGAGCTCTTTTAGTTTAGCTATCACAAAGCTCAGAATGATATTCCACATGCCCTTGCAGTCAGCAATTCCTCTACATTCTCAGTGCAATTATCTTCTCCTCTGCATTCCTTGTGTAGATGACCTTTATTGGGATACATTTTAAATTCTTGTGGTTTTTCTTTTGGAACGGGATTGAGTATAAATTAAAATGTTTTTTCAAAAGTATAGTTTTGGGAAGATGCTTTCATACAAAGTAGCAGATTTCCTAATCAAATTGGTGGTTTTAATTTCTAACTGCAGTGGAAACTGACTTTCCTGCTTTTGTCTGCAGTGATGATGTCAGGTCAGCTAACATTATTGCTGAAGAAAATGATGTCGCTTGCCTGGTTATAGATCGAGAGTGAGTATCCTCATGCTTGAGAAGGCAGACTACTGCCACCTTTGAAGACTTGGCCTTCCCTTACTCCCAGGGCGGATCTGTTTTCTCATTCATCACCACTCGGAAATGCTAGCCAGTCCTCAGCTGCAAGTACATTCTATTAAAATTCATGAGAAGGAACAGGGCCTTCTGATCTGAATGTGTCTGTGGCAGTGGCAGATGCTGGCAGGCTAAATATTTTGTGTGCAGAGTTTGTACATAAATATCAGCAATTGACTGATTTAAATTCTGCATCTCCCAGAGAAATAAGTTTATTAGTGTTCTTATGGATGTTTTCCATACAACGTAGTGAACAATTTTGTAATTTATTTCTAAAATGCCTTTAGCAGTCAAAAACAGTTTTGAATAAATCCTCTCTCAATGTATAAAATAGTCATTAGCTATTTATATTTCCAAACAAATTTTAGTCATTTGTAAGCAATGTGTATCAATATTGATGTCTAAATATCTTGGATTATTTTTCAGAATAAGTTTTATTTTGTTTCACTCACTTCAAATCATACTTTATCCTGGCATCTTGGATCTCTCATTAACCATTTAAATATTTACTGATTAATTACAAGATACACTAAAGGAAATTCTAATATAGTAGAGCTAGATCATTATCCAAATAAAGCCATTGTGTAGTCAAAGAAATAGGTCAGACTCACATGAAATATTAACAAAAAACAGTAAATTTACAAGAGACATATAGCCAACTTCTGATTGAATACAGCATTTATTGAACATAGAATCATAAAAATGTAGAGCTGGGAAGAACTTAAGAATGTTTAGAAACCTTTTTATCATGGAAATTTACAAACATTAAAAAATAGAATGGCATCAGAACTCTACAATTCAAGTTCAACAGTTATCAGTTCATATCTTATCTATACTCTTCACCACTCTGTGACATCTCCACACCATTTTTAAGCAAATTCCAAATATAAAATTGTTGCAAAAAATTGGGGGCACCTCTAAAAGCCAAGTATTGACTACAATAATGTTAACATGTCTAAATAGTGACTATAATTCACATGGAATTATTTCAGTTTTTTTCCCTTACAGATAAGAAAAGCAAATCCAAAGTAGGTTAAAGAATTGTACCAACAATGCCATCTGTGACTGAGCAGGGGTTACTGCCCAGGTTTCCAGATTCATCTCAACTTCCTTTCTCCAGCACATTTGGCTCTCATAGCACCTGCTCAGAAAGAAAAGCAGTCCCTATGCAGTCAAATAGTTAAGAATTTATTTTATTTTTTTAAATATGGAAATGGAGCATAAAGAAATAATAGGATTTTTCTTAGCAAAGAAGAAATTTAAAATTCACCCCAGGTGAAGTAAAACACCAGAGCAAAGGCAGACAGCTAGGAAGTGAAAAGTGTGTTCAGATAGCACTCTTTGAATGCCAACTCTTAAACGGAAAATGATTTGGTATATTGTCCTAATAATACATTGTTTTGTTTGAGTTCCTTAAAAATATGTGCATGTGCTGAATAGCAATAGCTGTATGGAATAAATGCTCTAAAATGTTAGCACAACAAAATCTGAAAGAAAGGAAGGACTTCTTTCCTTCATTATAATCTCATGTACCACACATGTATGTAATATCTTTTAATCCATGAAAAACATGCATTGACATTATATATTTTACAAATTACTTGCAAGATTATAATTTTAGGATGTTTACTTTACATATATATCATTGAGAGTCTATAACATACACTTGGCATAATGAAAGATAAAAAATTACATGGATTTACTCTGTGGGTGAGAGATGTTGACTATCTGGTATCGCTAGTTTCACCTATAACCTGGTTTTCTTGGGACAGTTAGGGTTATCCCAACATATTTATTATTGGTATCTCATTTCATTCTGGAAAGTATTTCAGTTTGGATAATAAATGTTAGGATCATCTTAGCTATGATTTGGAGTAGATTAAGACCCCACAACACTCCCATAGTCCACTGTTTTTACCCAAATCATACCATTATTCACATTTTGTTTTACTTACCATCTCTTGCTACTCTTTTGTAAGCTTCACGAATACAGAAACATGTAACTGCATTGCTGCTGCAGTTCCAGCATCTGATGTAGTCCTTGGCATGTGGGAAGTGCTCACCAGGTGATGGCTCAATAGAGGGCATCATCCTTGCGATGAGATGCAGGCACGGAAAGTCTATGGATTCTTATTCTTTCCTTCCTAGTCCATGGTTTTAATACATGATTAGAATGATTATAGTGCAAGAAGAATTAGAATTTGAGGGTTTCCTGTTTTTAAAGTGTGATAAACCATGAAATAACCCTGCTTTAAGATCTCTAAACAAATGGAAGGTGTATGGTGACACCACCATCATTAATTTTTGAGATAAATCCCAAAGGAGTTGGTTAGTTACTGTAACAGCTGAATGAGTACAGGCTGTTTGTAAGTTACAGCTATAATGTTGCAGCTCTTGAAAGAGTGGTTTAAGATTAGCTAGGAAAGAACCTTTAGGAACCCATGACCCCAGTGTCACAACAAGAAAAAAATAAGATTTGTTTATAACAATAGTCTAGTGGCAAGCAAAAAATTGGTAAAGGAAGAGTAAATTAAAGGAAAACAAAGTACAAGAAATATTTCCTTTATTTTATTGTTTCTTTATATATGACAGTAGAGTCCATTTTGATATAATTGTACAAGCATAAAATATATCTTATTGTAATTAAGACCCAGTCTTATGGATGTACATGATGGTGAGAGTCACTATGTTGTATTCATATATTCACATAGGAAAGTTATGTCAGAGGACTGGGGATATAGTTCAGTTGGTAGAGTGCTTGCCTCCAAACACAGGGCCCTGAGTTCAATCCCCAGCACAAGAAAGGGAAGGGAAGGGAAGGGAAGGGAAGGGAAGGGAAGGGAAGGGAAGGGAGAAGTGTCAGATTCTTAACATTTCCTTTTTGTTTGAAAATTTCAATTATTAAGGAAGTTAGAAATTCCATAGCAATATTATTTTATGTCCCATTACTGTACATCAACAAAGGTCAGTTTATAGTAAAGGGTAGAAGAGAGTGGGGAGTACATCTGAGGGGAGGAATGAAAAATACCCATTCCAGTGTGTAACACATATTGACAAATGGAAATATTGATTGGCTGTCAGTAAAATGTGTACAGAGGCATTAAGTTGTGACACTGTATTATTGAGGTGTTACTGGTTTATTAGTTTTAGGTATGTTGAGGCCCATTTTATTCTTTTCATTCTATTGTGTATCAGACACTTAAAATGATACCACGATGGTGAAAGTGGGGTCTCTATCCTAATAATCACAAATCAAGGCAGATTGTTAGATACGGTATAGGGAAACTTTGGAAGGACATTCAATAAAACTATCCTTTCTCTTGTGAGGAAGGGGATTCATTTTTCTCACGGACAGTGGAGTATGTAAGAATTTCTAAAGACCGTGAACTGGGGCAGGGAGATTAGGTCAGGCACAGGACAAGGCTGTGGTCTATGAAGGATGAGTGAGGTCAACCAGATGAGCCTCAGACAGAGAACTATGAAATTCAGGTAAAAAGAAATTATGAAGGAATGCGAAATGGGGAGAATTATCAGAGACAAAGAACAAATAAATTTTGTCTTTGATTTTAAATTGTTACTTAATTAAGCAAAAGTATTAAAATCTGTAACCCCTATAAGCTATTGATTCAATAAACAGATCATGTAAGCTGTTTCTTCTCCACTGTCTTAAAACAAATGAAAAACTACTTGTTGGCAAACTAGAACTGCAAAGCAGAAAACAATAGAAATGCTGTCTCTTCTCACTGGTAGCCTCTTTAGCTTGCATGAACTCAAAAGCTCAGTTATAGAGCTTTCAGTAACTAGGCCACATGTTACAACAATGTTAATATTCCATAAATTATTGAAAAACAATTGACTCCATGGGTAACTATATACATATTCTTGCATGAGTTTAAGAAGAATGTCAAGTTACTTTGGTACTATTTTGCTTTATTTTATTCTATTTTATTTTATGTTATTCAGAACATTCAATCAAACTGTTGGGACATTTGAAGAACTCCAAAAATACCTGGAAGGGTATGTGGCGAACCTGAACCGTGATGATGAGAAAAGACATGCCAAGTAAGTGGGGGAACATCCTCCCAAGAGAGATCTGACTTGTTGGGAAGTCAGTAGATAAAGAAGAAGACATGGGAGCTCGATTGCCTACACAGTAAACAGTTAATGTGCCTTCACTAGAAACTTCTGGGGAGCTCTTTTTAATAATTCTTCCACAAACAAGATACTAGAATGTCACTAGAATGATGATTAGTTAAGTCTCTGAATAGTCAGCAGCTTTATTTTGCATAATGAATAGAAATTTTAGGGAGAAATTTCCTGGTAAAGGGAATTCTTTACGATGGTAACATCTCAAAAGAACATTTATACTAGATTACAGGTAAAGAGTAGGGTCATAGTTTATGTTTTTCAAAACATAAGGGAGCTATTGCCTAAATAATTATATGTATGGAGGAGGAGTTGGGTAATAGGGATGTAGTAATAGGGATGAATTAATATTATTTGATAGAAAATCTACATTTTTAAATGATTTGTTGTTTTGTTTTTTGCTAAAACACTTATGTTTCTTTGTTTATTTTTTGCTGTGTTGGGGATTGAACCCAGGGCCTCATGCATGCTAGGCAAGCTCTCTACCATTGAGCTGTACCCTCACCCCTTAAAACATTTTTTGAGTGAAAGCTTAAGCATATATGCAGTAGATAGTGCTATTGAAACTGTATATTCAAAATTTCTAGAAGGCCGAGGTTGAGTTAAATTAGAGCATTCAATCAGTACATAACAAGATTTTTTTTTTTTTTGCAAGGAATGCATTTGCAGTTTTTACACCAAAGGCCTATTGTACTAACAGCTTATGAATATATAACTGAGAGCAGTAAGTCTTAATTGAGGCATAAAATGGTTGTTTCCACAATTCTTAAGACATAAAGTGAGAAATGTACTTTTCACATTTCAAAAATCAATTTTTCTGGGTAAGCCATGGAAACTTCAATATCTGACAAAAGGAGCAAACTATGGCCAAGATCCTCAGTGTGGCATTGTCCTATATGTGCAACAAAGAGAATGGCTCTGTGGTTTTATTGCCTTCTATTCACTCCTTTTCTGGGTTGTTAATAGTTTTATTGTGGTATGTTTTAAATGCTACTCACTTTTATTTATTTATTTATTTTTGGTACTGGGAATTGAACTTGGGGGATTGAACCACTGAGCCACTTCCCCAATTTTCTTTTCTTTCTTTCTTTTTACTTTTTAATGAGACAGAGTCTCATGAAGTTGCTGAGGCTGGCCTGTAACTTGAGATCTTCCTGCCTCAGTCTCCCTAGTCACGGGGATTGCAGGCAAGTGACACTATGTCTGGCTAAAATTCATCAATTTTACCTTGATGATTCAATTCTGTTTTTGTCTATTTCTTGTTTTGTGCATATGAGGGTTTTTGGTTTGTATGTTCCATTGTTTTTCTTCCCAGATGTACCTGAATCTGATCCTATCAAAGTTGAGATAGCCTTCGAGGCAACCATAGGCAGTGTTGCGGGCAGTTGTAAGACTATTTAAGAGTGGAATTTATGAGAGGCATGGTGCCTGCCTGACTAAGGGTATGTGTGTAAAGTTTCACTTCTTTTGTTCAGGCGGTCCATGTCTAACTGGAAGCTGTCCAAAGCACTCTCTCTGGAGATGATTCAGCTGAAGGAGAAGGTGGCCAGATTTTCCTCATCATCCCCCTTCCAGAACCTTGAGATTATTGCAACACTGGGCGTTGGTGGGTTCGGAAGAGTTGAGCTTGTAAGGGGTTTACGTTTCAAGCATCTGAGAGAAGCCTGTTGACTTTTTTTGTTTTATATTCCAGCTTATCTCGGAGGATCATGTGAATTATTATTGCTATCTTAAATTTTGTTTTGAGCTGAAATTGAGAAAGTAAAATTTTGAATCTGCATATGGTATAGTGGCAGGTCTGTCTTAGTAACTTGTAGTAATGAGCTGTTATTTCCAGCTTCTTACATCAGATCCTTTAGTGAATTTGGTCTTGATGGTAATTATTGGAGAATGTACTAAGTAAGCATTCCCAAAGGCTGTAAAATGTAAAAACTGTATTTCCTAATGGCAAAATATGTATATATAGATATATATATAACCACAACACATGAGCTCTCTATATACAAAGGAAGAGAAGAATGTGTCCTGCAGAAATGCTATAGAAATGTGATCTTTAATATTATGGTTAGATCCCTTAGACAACTCCACTACCGTGTCTGTATTTGGCTTTCATTATCCTATTTTTGGGTTGCCCCAAATTTTCCATCAGAAAAAAAGGAAATAAGATGAATGCAAAATGATGTTTGAAGAGCAGCCTTCTGCAGTGCTGAACAAACAGCTGGAAACTTACATCCTGATTTCAGTTGTGTCTTCCATATCATCACCTCTATGTGCTTAATAATCATCCTCCAAGTTGTAGAATAACAACAGATCTGGTATTCTGAGGAAACTGTAGAATGGAAATCTGTGACCTTTTTGGTTACATATGATTCCGAGCTCTTGGCAATTACCAAGCCCATCAGAATTTTAACAATGTACTGTGTATTGACGTCTGGGTACTGTGCTGATGATATCTCTGTCTGCCAGTTGGCCCTGGGCATGAACAGATCTGAAATCCTGCCAGGGACCCTGGATAACACACTTCACACCCAGTTCATACCTCATCTCTGACGAATGAGAGGGGAAATTGGTTTCTGAACAGAGGAAGAATATTCATGATGTCTCTTATGTCATATGAAGAGACAAGGGCAATATCCATCTGTAGTGTATTTTCCACCAAAGATCATGGCAAAAGGATTAAATTAGCAATGCTGAGATATGTTTCCTCAGATAACAATTATTGAAGCAGTATTTCCCCCTGATTTAAAAGTTATAGGCAGTACCAATGGTAAACACAATAAAATATGGGAAGAAGCCATTTCTGTACAACCTTGTTACTTGTCCAGTATAGACTGTTTAGGAAGTGTTAAACCTATCAGGAAAAATGTTTATTTTAAAATTTAGACTTTCCTCTTAAGGGAAAAGATTGATTTTATACCTAGAGTGGCACTTTCCAATAGACATTTCTATGATGATAGAAACGTCCTATATCTGTGCCATCCAGTCAGGTAGCCAGTAGGTGTATGTGGCGTTGAACTTTTGAAATGTGGCTATTGCAACTGAAGAACTGAAATTAAATTTTTAATTAATTTAAATTTAAATAACCTCATGTGATTACTAGCTACTGTACTGAATGGTGCAAATAGAGAACATGATTAAATTTGTTTTTCTTGGAAAATCAAAGAAGTAAATATTAAGAAATAGGAATTTTTGGCCATTCTGGTCCAGGTTTTTTCTGTTACATGATCAAAAACAATTGATATCTAAAGATTAAGACTTCTAACCATGTTTTCTTACTTCAATACAAAATTTTAGAATCAGATATATGAACTACTTGAGAAATTGTGATGAAACTGAGTCCTAGAGACCTAAGTGGCTAAAAGCTTCCATTCTCTTTAAATGTGAAACAGGTTTAACTCTCAATAATTATCATGTTTTAAACAGATATGGCAAATTATTGTTAAGTCAATGTTGAGGATTTTTCTATTTATTACATAGGTTAAAGTAAAAAATGAGAATGTTGCTTTTGCTATGAAGTGTATAAGGAAAAAGCACATAGTTGACACTAAGCAACAGGAGCACATCTACTCAGAGAAGAGGATTTTGGAAGAGCTGTGTTCTCCATTCATTGTGAAGTAAGTGAGCCTTTGATCTCCCAGGACTTGGAGTTTTAGGCTCTTCTTTTGAATGTTTCCATATAAGAGGTCAGAAAGAAGAGGAGGAGACATTACTCTGAATTAGCCAATGAAATCTTGGATCAGAGTTTCCAGTTGTTTTTATTCTTACAAAAGCATGTTGTTTGTGTGTGTGAATACAAAATTACTGCAGAGTAACTTGAACTGATTATTTTATCCAGACCTATTGTAGAATTTGGAAATAGGGAATCAAGATGCTATAAGAAACCCCTCAGAGGGTGTTCTGATGTTGAATTTCTGTAGGAAGGGCACCGGAAGTTACCAAAGGAGAACATATCCTGGCCCTCAAATGCCTATGTGCCAAAGGAACCATTTTCTGATAGTTATTCTTTTTTCTGTAGCTATCCTCAGTGTTTGGAGGGGAATTTAAAATTATTCTAGGCCATAGCTCTCTTTACTTGTGAATTCATGGGTTAGTGATATTAAGCGAATTTATATTTTCTCTAAATGCCCCAAACTGTAGTTTTTGTGATTTCTGGGTGATAGACAGTGTCCGTATAATGAAGACAATTTGTACTTTTTGATCAAATACCCTGAGAAGATCTTTCTATTTATCCATATCCCTAGACCCATTTTTGCAAGGCTAAAAATTAAGTCTGAACTCAGGTAATATTAACAAAAATCATCCAATTACCTTTTATTATGCTCCCAGAATGCCCCTTTAAAATTAATATTTCACTAATGACCTATGATGACCAGCTTCAGGGAATGGATTAAGTTGTATTAAGTTTTGCATTTCTAGATCTTTGTGATATACCTGGCAAATAATAGGGCAATAATAATATACTAAGAATAAATATAAATGACAACATTTGTATAGTGAGAGATTAACATGCACTTCTTCTAAGCCAAAAATATAGGAGGAGGAAGTGGAAGAATCACAACATTTCCTTCACTGGTCCTTTAGGAGGATCAAATGAATATGAATAATTTTCAGTAAATATTTATCATCAACAATATATACAAATAATATATAGTCAAATGAATATATAATCTCTCTCTCTCTCTCTATATATATATATATATAGATAGATAGATAGATAGATAGATATAGATATAGATATAATTTTTTTCACTGAAAACCAGAGATCTGAGACTGCATAACTAATATGTGTCTGATCTGGGATTTGAGCCTGAGCCTCTTGGTTGAGCTCACTCTCTGAACCGCTTTGCTAGGTCGGCAGAATAATGAGCTGCTTTATTAAGAGGTATAGTCTTGCAGAGTAGATAAAACTTTTACAGTGAAATGGAAGACATTTCCTCTGTGGGCAGAGGGAAAGCAGTCTGAGTAAAGGGATCCATGAGCAAAAGCACAGCAGTAGGAAAGATGGAAGAAGCTTTGGCGAGAAGCCCAGTGTAGCTGCAGGACATTTGTATGGAGATGAGGGTCATCATTCAAAATGTTATTGAAGATAGTCTTAAGCGACTTTAAAGAGCTTTAAAAGCTATATTTCTAATCATAACCATGTTTTTATCTGTCTTTGCAGATTATATCGTACTTTTAAGGACAATAAATATGTGTACATGCTTCTGGAGGCCTGCTTAGGTGGGGAGCTATGGAGTATATTAAGGGACAGGTAATGAACAAGCATTATAAGCAAGAGCTTTCTTTACTCATGTCAGTCTAGGGATGTTGGATTTAGGAACATTTAAAGAGGCACAGAGGAAATGATTTGGAAATTATTATAAGAAAATGTTATCTCTTGATAAAGTATAGTAGGAATAGTCTATTAGCTGACATTGCAGTCATGTCATATGCACCCTGTGAAGTAGTTGGTTTTAGGCAGTAAAGAATCCCAGAGACGGAGAACTATCCAAGGTCTCATGGTGAGTACAGGGCAGAATCAGGGCATAAACTCAGATGTTTCTGATTCCCAAACTTAAAGAAATGGGGCCTGGTAGGGAGTCGTTAAGACCTCACAGAAAAAAAAAAAAAAAAACAGTGTAAGATGTCAACAAAGGTTCAATTTAACTAAAGAGGTGGTTTCATGCACTCAAACCACAGATACATACTAAGCACCACCTCTGTAGAAGACTCCATAGCAGACAGTATGGAACTTTTCTAGATGATATAGAGTTTCTATCATAAAGAATAAAAAGTATTAACTTTTTTTCTGACACATCAAGAGTTCATTTGGGAAATTATATGATTTTTAAAACGTTTCATAAATATGAACACTAAATAGTAACAAAGAGGTTTGGCAAATTGTAATTAAATAGCAAATGAGTTTTGTAGACTGTCAGCTCAGAGGCGGGGAGGGAGAGAAATGCATGATGACAGAGGAAGGTTTTGAATTAAATTCTAAAGATGACAAAATCTTGGAAAGTCAGAGCAGCAGGAAAATACAAAGTAGAAAAGTTGACTTGGTACTAGGTCTCCTTATAGTTAATGAACAGAATTTGAGTAGGAAATAAGGGTAGTGAAAGAAAATGGAAAGGTATGCTAGCATTAGATTGTGGAGGTTACTGCCCAGCAGACATTCTGACAGCCTTACCTGGGCCGTGGACCCCAACCCCGGCTACACTTACAATCATATGGGGGAACTTTTACAAGGAAAAATGCTGGGCCATAATGCCAGATGTTATGATTTCATTTCATCTGGGATGGTATCCAGTAATTTTTTTTTCATGCTTGTTAGACAATTCTAGTGTACATTCATGACTGAGAATCGCTGACCTTGGAACATATATTGTTGGATGGATTGGGGAAAACCTGGAAGGATGAGGAAACTTTAATGATGCTGCTGCAAAAACATTAGTCTTTGTTTCAACAGTGGAATATATATAGAAAATCTAAACCTACTTATGAAAGAGAGTTCCTACAACCTGTTAAGTACCATGCTCAATCCTAAAAACAACATTACTAATTAAGGAGTAAGCCCATTTTACTGCATAGATTCTGCATCTTAGAACAGTTAAACAACTTGCTCAAGGTATAGTGAGCAAAGGAAACAGGAATAAAATTTTCTCTCACCCCAAAGCCATAGTCTTCTGATATACTAGGGGGTGAATCACCACCATGTTTAAAAAGATTCAGAGTATAATTTTGCTTCTCACTATGCTGGTACAAGGTAACTCTACTAAAAGATTGAGAGACATCAAACAAGAAAAGTTATGGCCCCTTTCTACCTGGGTTAGTATTGTGTGCTGTACCCACAGGAAATTAAAGTGACCACTTGAGCCATTCTTTAGTCAAGCAATAAATTGCTGAAGTCTCTTTTAAGCTCTCCACTGAGATAGTTGCATTTTCTCCAGAGTGTTCCACAGGCATCTAAAGAACTCGTTGTTTCCTTGGTTTTCTATTTTATATGTTCATGTATGATTATCAGAAACAAGTGCTTGGATAAAGATATTTTAACTTTAGTAAAGTTGTTTAGTTTGCCTCAAGTAACCTTCTCAATTTCTTTATCACCAGTAAACATCCTAATTTTATTGACAGTATAAAATACATTTTGATATTGACACAAAATATTTATATTACATATTTGTACTAATATAATAATTGAGACCTAGAACAGTAGAAAGGACATGTGTCCAGGATACTGAGAATGAAAATTATTTCATTGCAGAGGCAGCTTTGACGAAGCCACCTCCAAATTCTGTGTCGCTTGTGTGACAGAGGCATTTGATTACCTGCATCGACTAGGTATCATCTACAGAGACCTGAAGCCAGAAAACTTAATTCTAGATGCTGAGGGTTACCTGAAATTGGTAAGATAAGTTCTTTCATTTACAGTGTCACATGAGATATTTACAGAACAAAGTTGTGTTACAATTGCAATTTTCTTTTTAATTTTGGTACAGCTATTATTTTCACTATGGGGGATATGGCCTTTGAAGTTGGCACACTTAGTACTGGGAACACTGTTATGAATACATTCTCTTTGTCCTGTGAATTTAATGTTCAACCATATTTATGACTCCTACTGAAGATTCTCATAATAGAATGCCCTTAATATTGCATTTTATTAGTATTTTTTAAAATAATTTAACTAGGTTTTAATTTATTCATATAAGGACTGGCTATAAGAAATAATGAAAGAAGATAGTATATCACTTCTGCTCCAGGACACCTGCTGTCTATATAAGGAGAAAAGATAAACATAACTGTTGGTAGTCATTTTGAAATCTTTCCAGGCAATTCTAATGGGCAACCAGGATTGAAATCCTGTTAGACTACAGGCTTCTGAGGACAGAGACTCCCTTGCTGTCCATCTTTGTGGCCCATTGATGTCTAACAGGAACTTCCTTGTATGTTACAGTAAAGGATAAAAGAAAAGTGAAACTGCTTTCAGTGAGAAACTACAATACATCTGGGTGGTGGTAACTGAGGAGAAGCCAAGGCACTTTGGACCTAAGAAGGAAACCCCACAGGGTGGGGAACCAAGGCTGAAGTTTTCTAGGTCTTGATAGTCTCTCAAAGACATTCAAACCATCTCTGAATATTAACAAAGATATCAAAAGTCACCCACCCGAGACCTTTTATATAAGGAAATAATAACATTATTTACTGAGCAGTTATATGTGTAAAGATACTATACTAACCTTTGACAATTAATCTGTTAACAATCTGTGAGACAAGCTTTATCACCAATACGTTATAGTTGTGAAATTCAGCCATAGGAATTAATTTTGTTATGTGTGATGGCGACACCATCTCTCCCCATGGTGAAGGAGGAAAAGATAAGCCCTTTCATGTGATATTTGGCTGACTTCCAAGAGATATTTTGATCTAGTCAGGTTTTATTTTATCCATGAAAGACAGCTTTGAGAACTGGTGAGGTACTAACACAAGGCTTCAATCATTCTTATTTGTGATTCCTTCATTGGTTGTATCTCCTACAGCTCTTTAAGAAAAAGCTTTGGAGTATCCTAGAAGTAAAACCATCACAGGGCTTGAAGGCTCTTGTCCTTCTCAGAGCTGTTTTACAACAAAAGTTGGTAGCATAATCAGTATTTATAATAATGAGTCTGTTCACCATTGTGTCCATTCTGCTAATTCATTTGCCAATGACCTAAACAAAGAGTAAGAACTAAAGCCTGCAGAGGTTAAAGAGTAAATGTTGAATGTTTCCATTTCTAGCTATATATTAATCTAGATATCCTGAAATCCTCTTTCTACAAAATGTCTGAAAATACTAGGTGAGACATGGAAAGCAATGTTCCAACTGCATGATTGTTCACAGCACAGCATGGGAGTTCCCTGGGGCTGGCAATAGTGGGTGGTGGAGATCCAACACTGAAGCTGCCATCTTGTGTGCACCAGCAGCCTTAGGTCGCCTAGAGGTTTGATTTTAGTAGCTGTGTCTTCTGGGAACAGCAGACTAAGCTTTGGACCTGGGCAATGTGGGAAAGTTGAATCAGAGAACATTGTATAGAGCCAGGAATCACACAGATTAAACTCTAAGAGAAAAAGAAAATAAGAAACAAATATCAAATTTACAAAGACAGAGTACATGCAAGGAAACATGCTTTTCTCATTATTGGCTCTTGGTAGAGGCACAGGAAGGGTCTCGTCTAAGAATTCTTGGCCACAGGCTAGTCTTAATGGAGAGATTGGGGTCCAGTCTTCAAGGATGGAAAAATCCAAGTAAGAATCTAAATGAAAATAGATCCAGGTTGGTGGCATGCCCAAGTCCCAAGAACCAGTGTATATTCTCTTTGGAAGAATATACTTTTAACTCCAGTCACAAAGAACTCTTGTAGATAAAGTTCCAGGGAACATGAGCTCACATTTTAAAAATAATAAAATAAACGTATAAGGAGGAAAACAGCTACCATGAGCATTAATTTTCCGAAACAAAAAGAGCAGAAGGAGACACATGAACTCCTCCTATATTGGAGTAACTAGGTACAGAATGTACAATGAATACATCTGATGTGTCTTGAAAATAAGAGTGGGATAAAAAAATGAGTGAGGAGCAGTATAATGTATATTCCAAAAAAATATACAACAGGTTTTTGGGGAAAAAAAACTAACAAGTAAAGCATCTATTAATAAATTAAGAGTATAATAATTGAAATTAAATGTGCAATGGAAATTTTCATTAATGGTTGAATAGTTTGCACTGCACTGTCCTCTTGGTGAGATTAATTATGCATATAAACATGTATGAAGGCATTGGAGAACAATAAAAAGTAGATGATCAGACCTTGAAAAGGGGCAACACACTAGGTGAGATCCACAGTTAAACAATTTATAGCCAGGCTTGGTGCACAAGCCTATAATCCCAGCAGCTCAGGAGGCTGAGGCAGGAGGACAGATAGTTCAAAGCCAGGCTCAGCAAAAGTGAAGCGCTAAGCAACTCAGTGAGACCCTGTTTTTTGTTTTTGTTTTTTAAAATACAAAATAGGGCTGGGGATGTGGCTCAGAAATCTGAGAAGCCGGTTTTCAGAAATGGAGTTTTTTCTGAAATTCCCATGAAAATTCAGAATGTTTAGAAGTGTCAATAACTACTTTGTAAAATAATAAAATTGAAGAATTTATATTATCTGATATGAAGCCTTACTATAAACATAAAGCTGTAGTAATCAAAACACTATGGTACTGGTATAAAGATAGACAGATAACTCAGTCTAGTAGAATAATGTCCAGAGATAGATACACATAGTCAGCAAAAGAGGATATGTTAGTGTCTTCAGAAGGCATTGCTGAAACAACTGTAAAGCCGTAATAGCAAAAAAAAAAAAAAAGAAAGAAAGAAAAAGAAAATGACCTGATTGTACCTCTTACTATATGTAAAAATTATTTCAAGATTGTTCATAGACCTATAAACCATTTAGAAAGTAAACATAATATGTATTTTCAAAACTTGGGATAAGCCGAGATTTCCTAGAACACAAATAATATTAATCTTAAAAGAAAAAAAAAGATGAATTGAATTTCATTAAAATTAAAAATTTCTAGCTGGGTGCAGTGGCACATGCCTGTAATCCCAGCAAGTTGTGAGGCTGAGGCAGGAGGATCACAAGTTTGAAATCAGCCTTAACAAACCTAGCAAGGACATAAGCAATTTGTAAGACCCTATCTCAAAATAAATGTAAAAAGGACTGGGGATGTGGCTCAGTGGTTAAGGGTCCCAGGTTCAGTCTCTGGTTCCCCTTCCAAAAAAGAGTAAAAAAACATTAAAAATTTATGATTGTGAAAATACATGGCCAAGAAAATGGATTATCATGTCATAAACTAGAAGAAAATATTTTCAATATATATTTAATTGACAAAAGGCTCACAGCCAGAATACATAAAGAACATCTACAAGTAAATAATAAAAACTTGAGCTACTGTATTTTAAAAATGGTCATGAACCTTGAAGAAACACTTTACAAAGGAAAGTATGAGTATGATCACTTAGCCATATCACTAATTATCAAGTAAATAAATATAAATTAAAACCACAAAGAAATACACTTCACACCTAGTAGAATTGTTATAATTAAAAAGATTGACAATATCAAGTGTTGGTAAGGATGGTCCCCTACACTTCTGATGGGGATAAAAACTGAAATCATAAAAGAACAGTTAGTTTCTCATGGAGCCAAACATACCTATTCTATGACAGAACATTCTACTTCTTAATATTTACCCAGGAAAACTGAAATCAGAGTTTCAGATATATTGGGAATCAATGCCCATAATAACCTTATTCCTAACAGGCCCCAAACAAGAAATAGCTCACATATCCATCGTCAATTGTATGTATTTACATACAGTAGTACCTTCAGCAACAAAATTCAGTTTAGTGATAAAAAAGGAGTGAATTTCTGTAGGCAATAACATGAATGAATTTTAAAAACTATGTTAATAAAAGAAGCCACACACATACATGATTACTATAAGAGTTGTATAGTATGTGTTAGAAAGCAATATAATAGATGTCTGTGGGAGGAGCATTTGATTGGGAAAAAGCATGAAGAAATTTTCTGAGATAATGGGAATGCCTGTATCCTGAATGTATATATGGTTGCTGTGGTTATATGAGTATAATCTGCATGAATTGTATACCAAAGATGTGTGCATTTTATTACCTGTCACTTGTATTCAATTTGGAAAATGTCATGGAAAGGTTAAATAGTAGATGATTAACACAAACAGAAAAATCAGGGAAATGAAAGAAAAAGTGATTTATATAGAATGTAGCATAGAGACATAATAGAAATAAAAGAAAGGAATGAAGAAACTTAGAAAAGTTTCTTTAAAAGTTTAATTGTACTCCCAGACAAAAATAATATAGAGAATGAGGGGAAAGCAATATTTCAATAAACCATGACTGAGATTTTTCCAGAAATCATAAAAAGACAGCAATCAGGTAAAGGAGTCCAAATTCCAGAGCATATTTCTTCAAGCTCTTGTTTTGTTTAACAAGTCACTTCAAAACTTAATGACTTAACACAGCAATAGCCTTTTACAATCTCACAGTTTCTGCAGTTTGGGAATTTGGAAATGTTTAGCTAGGTGATTCTGACTCCAGGTCCCTCATGGAGTCTTGGTTAGATGTTGGCTGGGGCTGCCATCACCTGGAGGCTTGCACATCTGCTAGGGCTGGAGGATCAGTCCCAGTGTAACTCATTCATATGGCTGGCAAGTTGGTGCTGGATGTTGGCTGGAGGCCTTCATTCTCCAACAGGCCTCTTCACAGGACTGATTGAATGTTCTCATGGCATGGCAGCTAGTTTCTGTCAGAGTAAGTCTTCCAAACACTGAGGAACTGCTA